ACACTTCAATATGGTATTGAACTAGATTTACACAATAGTTCCTGATGCGGAGGCGTCACCCCTGTAACTCCGTTACCCAGGTAATGGACTCCAACATGCATATCCTTTCGGGGAGGACAGAGAAAACTGGTTCTTTACTTCCTTTTTTTGATGTATATATCGGGAAAATTATAAAATGGTTGGATTAGTTCTCCCTCACTATCAACTCCACTACTGATTTTCAGAGGCGGCGAAAAGTGCCTTAAATAATCATCATTTTGCCTTTATTGATTTTTGAAGGCAATTTTGAAAGTGCCAATATAATGATGTCAGGAAAGATAATGTTAGACTAGCCACAATGGTAAGTAACATACACTAGTAACATACACATATCCCTAGACTATATTACTACCTTCATAATGGGTAGTAACATAAGTGTGGTAACATGCAAAGCTTCATTTATTAGGTTGTAGACTCATATTGCATTGGGACATGTAATGTTACAGTAACTAGCTAAGTTACTATAACTATCTCTCTCCTTATTAACTCACTGCCACATAAGCAAATTTGCTGAGTTGGACTCGATGTTACTGCTGAAGTTACTCCCACTGTGGCTAGTCTTAGGTAGTTTGTAGGAGTGCCTTAAATAATCCACCAAGGCATTTCCAAAATTGCCTCAAAAAATACATTAACGCACTTTTTCAGATTGCCTTAAAATATTACAGCCAGGCATTTCCGTTATTGCCTTAAAAGATAACAGTAAGGCAGTTTTCAATATTGCCTTAAAAGGTAACAGTAAGGCAGTTTACAATATTGCCTCAAAAAATAGTTTAGCGCACCTTTTCAGATCATCTTAAAAGATTAAGGCAAGGCATTTTCATTACCTTGATTTACAATAATACTGATAACAATAGTGGATAAGAAGATATGAACAAACACAGCTATGTTAACTTCCTGGGAAGCTTCAGTCATTAACCATCTAATGTCAGAATAGTATCGCTATGCCGTAAGTAGCAGCACATATGCATCTTTCCAGTGTTCAAAGAATGCAATTATATTGTCTCATTTAGCATGTAAACAGCTCCCAAAGGTGCATTTTGGCTAAAGTTGCGTTATTAACTACTTATGTCTTTATATGAACAAGTTAGGAGTCCCCCTTCTGTACATCCCCCTCATCAAAACGTATAAAGGGCAATACAGACCTTTCACACTATATACCATTTTTGTATGTGTACACTGTACGAAGACCCCCTTGTATGCTCGCGCTCTTGGGCCGTCGGTCATTTCTCGCGCACTTAGGCTGGCCCATTAAATCTGGTCCATCAGTTTTTTGTAGAAAAATTATTCGGAAAAAGGATTGCTCAAGGAATCGAACTTGAGATCTCAGGCTTTGGGCGAAGGCTGCTTGCCTGTCGAACAAGTAACAGCTTGTGACTATGAACAGCACGACTTATATAAGGACCACACCACAGCGTTCATATGTAAAACAATTTCTGAAAAAAATCCAAACTTTTCTAGAAAAAAAGGTGAAAATTTTGCACATGCCGAATATTTTTAATAAATAGCAAATAATTTATGACTATAACATGATTTTTTTTTTAACTTTTCCAACCAGTTTTTTGGAAACGTGACCAATTTTTTTAAATGCAAATAAGTTTAGAAAACAGGCGCCCGACGGGAGCGGTACCGTCGCCTAGTTGGGTCAAGGCCTAAGTGTTTTTTTTCTATTTTTTCATTATTCTTCTCTTTTATCGTTAATTCATTTTTCTCCTTCCTATTTTTTTGAAAGCAGTTCAAAACTTTGAAATATTTTTAGTTTTAAGGAAATGTTTTAAATTATTTTTTTGTCAAAGACTTATTTAATTCTTTAAATTATTATCCTTTTCCATTTTATCCCTTTGTATTTAGTAGTTATATTAAAAAGTTTAAATAACAATTTTAAGTTCCTGTTTAGATTATAATTTTAAATACTTTTTCTTCAAACTTGGCATGGGATGCCTACCATGGGCTTGCCCACCTTCTGGCAAAAATTCTAGTAATTTCAAGAATGTTCCAAAAACACCATGTTCATTGTAGGGTGTCCAGGTAGGCCAGAGAGCCACGATTGAGAGCATGTTGTTTCTTGATAACCGTCAAATGGCTCCATTCTTTTCCTTGGCGTGTATGACCAATTTAAGGCAGCATGCCGGGTTATTTTGGTTTTCGACAAATTTTGCATTTTCGAAAGTTTTTTCGGTCAAAAAGGGTTGATAAATGGTCAGACGTGTCGCAACTTACCTATACTGTCGGGAATCGTTCAATCCTAGCATGGATGCACCATGGGCACACCCACCTGCTTGCAAAAGTTTGCGTTATTTTAAGAGTGTCCAAAACTAGACTATGTTCAATGAAGTGCGTTCAGGTGGGTCAGAAGGCTTCGTCTGAGTGCAGGTTGTTTCTCGACATCTTTGAATTGGTTTCATTTTTTCAGAGCCTTATATTACAAACTCAAGGCATCATTCCAAGTTGTTTGGGTTTTCGACTAGCTTTGTATTTTCTAGAGTTTTCTCAGTGAAAAAAGCCCGATAAATAGTCGGGCATGACACAAGTTGCATAATGTATCAAAATTCATTCAAACCTAACATGGATGCCTACCATGAGCATGCCCGCTTACTCGAAAAGGTTGGGGTTATTTTTTGCATGTCTAAAATAGACCATGTTCTATGGAGGGGTGTTCAGTTAGGCATGAAGGGTCCGTTTGAGAGCACGTCTTTTTTGACATCCATTAGATAATCCAAAATTTTCTCATGAGCTTATATGACCAATAAAAGGCATTGTGCCAAGTTATTTTTGTTTTTCGACAAATCTTGCATTTTTCTAAAGTTTTTTAGGTGAAAAATGACCAATAAACGGTTGGACGTGACGCAACTTGCATGCGGTATCGGAATAAGTTCAAATCTGACATGGATGTCTACCATGGGCATGCCCACCTGTTGGCAATACTTGGGGTCATTTCATGCATGTCCAACAATAAATCATGATTAGGATTTTTTATTGATTTCAAAACAAAAGTTCACAAATTTTCAAAATTTTATAGAATTTTAAATAAGCTCCTGAATCCTAAAAAGGGGGTTTTGATAAAAAAAGTAAATTTTGAAAAGAGTTTGTGGATTGAAAAAATTCATGCATTTGCAAAAAGGTTCACGCATTCAGAAAAAAGTTAATGGATCTTAAAGAAGTTCACAATTCTTGAATATTTTTTAAACTAGCGAAAATTTCTGAAAATGTGAACTTTTCAAATTCATTGTGACGCCCGGGTAATTATGCTACAGTAATCCCCACTAATGTTGCCACGTCACCTCGGTTACTGTGGATAAACTCGCGTTAGTTCGAAACCGGTTCGAATTCAAAATCAAAACAAAAGCAAAGATAAAAGGTTTCAAAACAAAGACTAAAAATGTTTGGGGGTTGTCTAAAATAGCTAACCTAATTATGGTGGGGTGCACTAATTTTGGTAAAATGCTTTGGCATTTTAAGTAAACTAAAAACAGAAAAGAGAAATAATAAAAGAAAAAGGAAAGACAAAAAAAGGGGGGAAGGGAAAACCCCTGGCCCATTCCCCCTGGCCCATTCCCCCTCCCCACTTGGCCCCTCCCCCCTGGCCCATTCCCCCCCTGGCCCGGCCCAGCGCAG